AAAAAAAAAAAATTCCCCCATGAATTGAGCATTTCAAGAGATATTACAAAAGGTGAGTGTTTGGAGGTTTGTTATGCCTGGGTGGAACGTGAGGAACGGCAAATAAGTATGATTTCACGGGATCGGGAAGAAAGGCAAATGGCAGATAAAATCCTAATAGATCATATGATCTATTCCTGTTTTCATGAAGTCTTTGTGGGTTTTTTTTTAATTTTTGTTTAAAGAGACGGGTGATATCTTGAATTGAAAACTGTGGTCTGATACAGAAAAATCTTTTGATAGAATTCAGGTATCTTTGAATCTCCTAAAAGCAAATGGTTAAATACTGCTCCAAATATCTGCCAGAACAGCTCCCATTTGTAAAGTTTAAGCAGTATTATTTAAGCACTTTTTACAATGATACATTTATGATTGCCAAATTCGTACAAAGTCTTTCGTTTCATACCTCAGAGCAATAATTAACTTTGTAGTCTGAATTGAAATCTGCCCTGAAGTGAGAGAAAAACCCCAAGAAGTCATGTATTCATAGGAAGTTTTAATTTACTATACTTGCTAACTTCAGACAAGGGTTAGCATGACACTGCCATGGGAAAAGGTGATGACCAACTAGGGAGAGGTTAAATTCTAGTTGAGAACAACAGCTTGAGTTATGATGCTTAATGCAGTGGATTGACCGTGGCCTCTAACTCACTCATTCTCTTATGGGCAGAAGGATCTTAGGAAAAGTCTTAGGCCATTAGATTTGAACAATGGCCAAAATGGCTATTTAAACAGAAAAAAAAAAGTGAAAATGTCTTGATATAGATCTAATTTACCAATTGCTAAAGAAAACATCATATAAAAGATTATTCCAAAATTATATGCCAAATATGAAGCTTCTAGAATGTACCATCACAAATCCTGGGACCCACTTGCCACACCAAGGGGGACACCGATCCCTATCAGGCTTTTCTCACTCCAGCCTTAATGAACGTTTAAACGTTCTTTTTTATCACACAGCTGGAATGCCTCGTCATCTTTACTTCCAATTTTAATTTTGTTATACCCCTTTATTCTTGGTTTAAACTGAACAGTTATCATGCTATAAATACACAGAAAATAGGTACTTTAAATTATACATTTTAAAATACTTGTTAAGTGTTGATTGGATCAAAAAAAAATGAAACATTATTCAGATATTAATTTAGTTGAAATAATATGTTTGGCCAGTAGATGTCACCCTTTTTTAAGCAACAGGGACTACTTCACCAAGCGTGCAACCTCAGTTGCAGTGAGAATCTTTGCTTCACTCTATTTGATATTCTCCATATGGAGAGACTATATCTCAGCTACATATTGACTATGTGAATAGCAAAAAAGGCTTTAGTCTCTCTAAAGTTCTAAGTGAACAGAAACGTATAGGTGACAGAAGTCTTACTAAACGCAGTCAAACCAATTGATCTTGGAGCCTAACAGCTGAAATATAACTATTAGTTGGTGATAGAGTCAGCACTCACACTGGAACTTTGGAAGTTCAACTTAGATCTGACCTTTGTACTACAAATATTGTTCACAGAACCTCCCATCTATTTTTAACATTTTTGTTACCGAACCTCATTGTAACATCTACCCAATTGGCCACATTCAGACCGTGTGGTATTTTTAGGCTTTTGTGTCTTTTTCATGGTTACTATACCACACTTCCTACAGGTGGGGTTTGATTTGCAGATGCATAAAAGAGTAAAATACACTATGGAACACCAAATTAATTTTTTTTAATAAATAAAAGCAAAGCATTTATTTCCCTATCAGGGACAATGAACAGATTATCTGAAAATAGCTTGACTTGTCTCCTATAAAGCTGCTC